ATTTGTGGTACAAGTCCCTACATTTTGGCTCGGCCAAATACTTAGTATATTGGCTGGATGTAAATAAAAGAACACATTCACAATACTTCCGGTTTCCATGAAATAGCAATGTCTAACTCCAATAATCCGTGTCTGTAAGCTTCTATCGTTTGCCATTCTAAATAAAGCCTCTACTCATCAAAATTTGAAATCAATTCCTTTTGATATAAACATTTAAGGAAAAAAATCAGCGCCGGAAACAGCTTAACTTCTTACCTAAACCCTCATAACGACTAATGGCTTATCGTAGGCTCAACCGTCCTAATTTCATCTCTCGTGGTTATCATAGATGACCACGGAATCACTAATTCTAGTCACTAAGACCTCGCAAAAACATTGAATTTTAGACATCGAAATCTCATATTGTGTCTAATAAATTTGAAAAGTAGGGCTTTTTCATCGCTAAACTTGTGTCAGCAAACCTTTCACAGGTAATAAACAAACTCTCTTAACCCTGATCGTCTTTGATTTTTTGGTAGGCGGACGACAAGCTTACAACTAAAAGAAAAATGTTATGAAACAGGTGAAGAGTACCTTCCCTGTAAAGAAGACTTCCAAACCAAACGATCAAGTGAAACGACACCAAATTGAGATATTCAAATTTTCATTTAAGCCTCTGACGAAGAGAGTCCATATCCACAGATCGCGTGAATTTAAATAGGTCACGCTAGATTACTCGGAAAGAAAACGGAAGTTGTAAACTATAAACTCATATACTTATATTTATTAACTCGTTAACCGTTTAAATTAGTAATAAACCTGATCTTTTATGGCTATCTACTCGATAATTGAGCTCAAGGCTAATGGAGAAGGCTGATATCATGAGAAATTTACCTTACCGATAAATAGGCTGAATGCCTCCACATGATTTGACTTACATGTCAAGCGACATTTTTAGTATCTAGTGTTTACAAGTTGATAAGGGTGTTGTGGCTACTGGAGCCACAAGTCAGCTATTGTGAATGATTTTAAATGCATTTTCGAGCAAATGCGAGCTGATTTATTTTCACGTCGACTTACTCAATTTGTTTTGAGTTTCACAAGTTTATTAGAGAGCAATATACCCAAACGTTATTTGATTAGATTTGCAATGTAATCAGGGTGATACAAAATTAAATCTATCATAACTGATCACATCAGTACGAAATAATTCCTGTCAGTGTAGTTTAGCTAAGTCACCTATCAATAGTAGAGAACTTGTGTGTTCCAGCGTATTTAGCCTCAAGAACAGTAACATCTGGCAAAAACCTCATATGAAATGACTCCTTCTTAGACCCGCAGTTAGACTCAGTCTATATTTGTACGACAAAAAGTAGCACAACAGTACAGCCATTTCGCTCGTGTTCATGAACAGAGTTTTTTTAAACATGA